CGGTCGGATTATTTTGAAAATAGCCTGCAGACAAAAATACCTCTGTGCTTCGAGCGGAGGCCAAGAAAAGTGAATTTTAATTTGGCGGAGTGAGAGGTCGAGGTTGGGGATTGGGGGTCGAGGGTTGTGGGCACAAAATGGCCCCGAACCCCCAGATGCTAAATTCCCGACTACACGGCTGCACCACCCCAATTTGATCGGCTATAACTTTTCGAGGGACAGTTGGATCCATCTGATGCTCGACCGAGTTCACGAGTCTCAGAGGTTCTTTCGCATCCGCAAGATGGCGCTGTATGCCGATAGGGGACGCTGTCGTCGACCGGAGGGCCCCCGATCGACGTGCCACGCCACTTTTTAGGTCGACTCGAAACCTTACGTGAGCCTCTCTGCTCTCTGCATAAATTTGATCGTTTTGACATTGAATGACGAACTCGGTCCGGAATGCGATCCAAAATCCTGTTGCCCATATAACCTCACCACCCGACCCGGCTCGACGAGAAATGATCGAGTGACGGAATTCTTGGTCGCAACGAACGCATGACTTAGAGGCGCAGTGAGAAGGATCAATCGATTGATCCTCCTCATTCTAAGTCACGCGTTCGCTGCGAACTTAGAATCCTGCAGTTAGAGAATTCCTCGTCGAGGCAGGTCGGGTGGTGAGGTCATGTTGGCTACAGGATTTTGGATCGCGTTCAGGACCGAGTCCAAGACAGGCCCGGGCAGGTTAGCAACGCGATTTGTGATCAATGACATCTGGTGAGAAAAATTGTCTCCGGCTACTTTTTTTCATCGGTGGGAATGGGAAGTCTGGAAACGTTACTTTTTTTTAATAAATAAAAAAAATACCGGTAAAAGAAATATAGAGGAAAATACAGGTACTCGCTTGCCGAATCTCCGAGTCCCTGCTAATTAATAAGCATGATTTGTTCACATTCAATGCATTCATTCAATACGACAGATGGCTATCAGAAGCCATTTGGAAAAAAATTGTCTTGTCTACCCTTGCTTGGCTCAAGGGTATTAGTACAACTACTAAAAAATTTCCTACACAACTCAAACTACTAAAATTCCGTAGTTCAATGAGACAACAAGCTACTTTTTTGGTGAGGTTGTTCAACTAATCTACTCAACTGCTAAGATGTTCAATTGCCAATAATTACCCCACGATGTAAGAGTGTAGCAAAGTGAAAATGCTAAGGATCAACTTAATAGAACTTCCAGTTCAGCCCCAGCAAAAATGCGAGAGTCAAGTTGATTTTCTCATCAGTTCACTTCACTTGCAAAAAAATTATGGGAAAATATGAATGCTAGCTTCTGACTTAACTACCTCCCTAAAATGATAAGCTAATGATCCAAACGATCTCTATGCAATATTTTGGCTCTGTCTCAACTAATTGAAAGAGTAATGCAACTTGCAAATAAACTACAAAGTCTACTGCTCAGCATAGGATGTGACCACCCTTTCAAGTTTCATTTTTGTTAGACAAGAGGGAAAAAATAGATATAGCCACAAGAATGCCATATTTTATTGAAAATCATGCAAAGAAAATATAACAAAAGCCTAAAGGAGTGAAAATTTAAAAATTATCACAGAGTGCCAGGGTTATTTGAATTTTGACAGAGGCTGATAGTGGGATGCTTAGAGTGGGTGAATGCCATCCCATCATGCTGGAAAGGCAGAAATGAGAAACCAATTTAGGCAACGACGGGAGCAATCTCATTGAGTATGTCTCGAGCAGCCTGGTATTCCTCAGATTCCGAGAGATCCGTCTCGGACTCCACGATCCTCTTGAGGTCGTTGTAGGCGTCGATGAGACGCTTGTGGCAGTCGGGAACGACCTGCAGCGTCTCCTGCAGCATTGCCTCCTGATGAGAAATGTCTCGATCCTCCTTCCCTGCATGCGCCATAAAAGCATCATTATCATCATCTTCATCCATGCACATGTATATGAGGAAAGGATGTTTTCACCTTCTTCCTTCATCTTCTCCAGTTTCGCCTTGTGTTGTTCTGCCTCCTTGACGTAAGAGTCTCTCTCCTTAGCAATGCGTTTTGCCACACCCGTCTTAATGCGAATGGCACGCAGCCGTGGATCTCCAGTCTCGGGCATCTTCCAGGTCTAGGCCGTCCACTGAACTCGTAATTGTATGAAACTGAATCGTGAAATAACGTCATTTCCTAGAGTATCTTTACACTAATACGTGGGCCCAAGGTGTACAGAGTACTGGTGATGATGTCCATAAGATCCATTTTCGGTCTCACGGTTTACTGTTTCCTCTATTTTAAGCAATTTCATACAGTCAAATTATCCAGGGGTTGTTGAATGTTTATGTTCACATGTAAACTGATTCGGACATGAGAATGGGCCCTGGAAATGAATAAAAATAAAGTTTCCTAGATTAGTTCTAACTTAATGAGAAGTCAGTACAAAACTACAGCTTGTTGCAAAAACGTGTTATGATTTGTTTGAGATGAAAAGTGTTTATACCGTAGAGGAGAGGATGGCTACGTTTGGAACTCTTTATCACATAGTCCCTTGCACAGTGGCGTAGCATGGTTGGCATGGGCCCTGGTGCAAAGAATGAAATGGGCCCGCTGTCCAATTTCTTACTATTGAATTATACGGGAGCCATATTTATTTGATAGATTTTCTCCGACAGCATCATCGTCGGTAGCTGAGGTCGTGGAAGGCAGAGGCGGATATAGAAAATTTCATAGGGGGGGGGGGCATGTTTCCTAGTTCCCAGCCCACCCACCCTCCCCCCTCATCTGCCACCACCCTCTTTCTTATCACCTTATTCCTTTTCCGTCTGGGGTNAATTTCATATTGCCGAGGGCAGGATAAAATCCTTCTGAGGGCTTCATCTGACCCACAGGCCTGATGTTGTGCATCCATGGTCTACATGAATCACGACTGGTAAGGGTCTGAATATGCATGTAGCTTTAAAAGAATTCACAAACAATATCACAATAAGACTTACTTGCCTTAAGAACATAATGCCATCATCTGAAAGGATAACCACAAATAACAACAAACCTTCGTCAGCCAAATTTTCTAGTGTGTCTTTAGTTTGCTGAGGATTATCTTGAAATTTTATTGCACTTTTCTTTACCTGCTCAATTGAAAATGTTTAGAAATAGAACAGAAAATTGAGAAAAGGTTCATGGTGATTGCATGATAATTCTTTGTTCATTAGAATGTAATACCACCCTCAAACACAAAATAACCTCACAAAACTTAATGATAAACTCAGAGCTTCAAGCCACAAATTGAATTTTGAAAAGGAACAACTTCTGGAACTGTTGGAGAATTGGAGAATACTATCAGATAGAACTATATGCCTAATTGCTGTTTGAGTTAAAGTGAGGCAATGGCAAGCAGGATAAGACTTAGTTTGGGGAGCAACAACTGAAACTACACATTACCACTTTTTTTGAGCTTGATTTGTGCATTCTACCAAGTTTTTAGCACTTACGGTGCCAGAGCTGATTAGAGCAATGCTACAAAATTTTATTGAAAAGGGCCAGTGTCAAAGAGCTGACAATTAAAGGGTTAAGAAATGTTTCTAGTCCGAGCATTTGATCGTGTTCCTTCTCAAAGTTAGGACATTTTAGTGCCAGCTCTTTGACTCTGGCATTTTGAAGCGATATTTGTAGCGTCACTGTAAGCGACTCTGGCACTATGAGGATTAAGGAAATGGAGCTTGAGGTAAGTTTTAACATTTCAGTTTTAGGGTATCCCTATGAAACAGATAAATTAATTCCAATGATCTTATTAGAAAGGTAGCATGTGTGAGCCATGGACATTTCATCCCTCTTATGGGAGTGCTCCTCAATGATATCTGAAGAGCATGTCCCTTTGTGCAGGTCATGAATGGGTTTCCATCCAAAGGTCAAGATTGGACATCAGTTACTAGATGGAAGTCAAGAAGTTGGATCTAAAAACTAAATGTATATGAATGGTCATCTTGAATGCATCTCTAATAAACATCAATCCTGAATTGACACTTGCTCAGCCTATCAGACTGCACAGAAAACACTGACCCACCAGAGATCATGGGTTCTGTCATAACAGCCTCCCATCCCTCAGTTACGAAGACTGTGCTATCTCATTAGATATTGAGACAACATGTCAAAGAAAAAGAGCACTCCTGGTTCCACACAGAAAACAAATAATTTACTCCCAAAAGTTAATGTTCCCTGCAACAGGCAAAAGATAACATGTTCACATATACAAGATATAGAGCAGCTTCCAAAGAACTAGACTTTTGTATTAAAAAATAATATTTCCTTGTTATAAAGTTTGTTTTCTAGTTTTCAGAAAATCAAATGAAACCACCAAAAGGGCAGATTCTATGATGATTGTTCAAATGCCATGCAATGAAAATTGTTAAATATGCTTGGGAGTGTTACATATATATACGTTTCAACCATTCAATATGGTTTGGCCATTGTAAAAATGGATGGCTTTAGTCATTTCATACCTGATGGGGTATTTTTAAAGAAAAAATTAGCACAAAAAAGAAAAATTACTTTTGACATTCATGGATAGTATAATTTATAAATCACCAATAACAAATCTTCCACCATGTAGCCAAAGAAGCTGCTTGGTGGATGGAGTGTGCTTCACAAGTCAGCAATGTTGACTTTTTTTTTTGTTTTTTTTTTTTGTTACAGGGATAGCAAAAAGAAACTTTCCACTTGCCAATTTAAGTTTTCATTGGTCCTGAAAGGATCTTAATTTCTTTAACCTGAAGCCCTGGCTGCAGAGAGTAGGAAGCTGGTCATGTCCATTCCTTGGTCAGAGGGGGCTTTAGCAAGGGGATTAGTGGGGTAACTCATGAACAAGGGGATGATTCATGTCATGGTTTCCTCTTTCCTGCACAAATGGGAGCTATTGTTTCCCCTTATGTTTTTCTTCTCATGAGACAAGACCAGCAGTACATGACAGCAAGTTGTCAAGGGCTATTTTATTTCCTGGAATGAGCAGTTTTTCTATTTATAAAAACAAAAACATCTAAGAAGTAAGAACATGCTTATCAAAGTAATTGCATTATTTGCAATTACAAAGGCCAAAATGGAAGTCTGTCACCTCCTTAATAAATTTCAATATATGTGGCATTTAGTACCATGCTCTCTCATATGTCTCACATGCCACCACTCCAGTTTGGAGACCTGTGTCATTCCATATGCCCTCACTGCTATCTGAAGCATTTTGCAGCATAAGTGATATGGTGGGGGGAGGGAGTGGTGGGGTAGCATGGGACAACAGATGCTTGCACTACTAAGCAATGGTCACCTAGGGACCACTGGTTCCCAAGTTAGAGGTCTAAGTCCAACCTTGACCTTCATGTCCCTCTTTTGGAACTCAATAAATTGATAAGACAGCTGCATTTCAAGCAGATTGATACCTTTGGCTTCCCAAACAATAACTTGCAGCCATGCAGCATTCACACCAACAACAAAACAGACTTCCTCACCATATGTTCACAATTACAATAATGGTTTCCCCACTACTTCACTAACTTAACCCAGATTGAATATGGTTGCATTATGAAGTAGTAGAATATCATGGGGCATAGCAGGAACCCAATGAACAGAGCCTTCAGCTGCCTCATTACCTCACTGACTAATACATGACCTTGGCACATTGCATGAAACATTCACAAAAAATATATAAAACACATAAATAACAATTTGTATAGAAAAATACTTCATGAGACTAGAGGACATGGTCCTTGAATTTGAAACCCATCATCCTCCTGCTTAGGCTACCAAGGACTGTTTGAGAAAAACACTGAAAGTGAACAGCGTACAGCCTTTCCCCACACTCCAGACTCAGTTAACAGAAACTGACTTGTTTCAGGATGCCATGGGTATTGGGTCTGCTTGCAATGCAGTCCTGCTTAAATGAAAAACTGAATGCTAATGTTGGCTTTTTCGCACTAAATAATCTTGTTACAATGAGGATTACAAAACCAGGGCTTACACTAAGGCTTGCAAAAACATTGTCAAATGAAGTCATACACCATTCAGGAGACTGCATCCATTCAACATCAAAAAGAAGTGGTTTCCTTCCGCTTTTGCTCCCTCAAAGGGATCCCAGTGCGTCGGTATTCACTCCGTTCCTCGAGGTATTGATTGGTGCATTCTGCAATGAATTCGGGGTCTCGATACCATTGGGTCAGGCATTCTTTGAGAGCAGCATTCTCTTTGCGACACTTGAGCACCATGGCTATGCCAGCATCCTTGCAGCACTTGGTGAAATCCTGGACTTGGGGGATGCATTTCTCAGCTTTGGCTCTATCACGTAATTTCATTGGGATCATCACTTCCTTTTCAACCCTGCGTAGGCTTCTGTCGGCTGGATCGCCGAGTCCGTGTGGCCCACAGGCATACTTTGCAGGCAATACTGTGTGAGCCTCCAGCTTTTGTCCATCCATTTTGGCTAGCCTTGCCCGTATTTGAGCTTTGGCTCGGCCGAGGGCTACGATGGGTCCATAATTAATTTTGAGAGGCATTAGGACTAAGCCTAACGTTAAAGTTATTATTACGGTGATTTACACTTGACTCGTGTACGTGGGGAATCCCATACACGAGTGTCAGAATAGGCCCATTTGGAAAAATACACGATTCGCGAAGAAACCGGAGGACAAGGGATTAGAAGAAAAACATTGGATTTTGCCACTGTACGAACGAGCTGAAATGAAGCAAGACCTATAATTTGTCAAACGTAAAGAAAGTTCACACTAACCGCATGGCAAAGCATAAGGGCACCAGACCACCGCAGAAGTTCTGCGCTGGGCTGCCTCCTGCTCAAGTCTCCGTAGAGAGTACCTTTTGCAATGCCGCGAATTAGGCTATAGGCCTAGAGCATACCTGGTCACAACACTACACAAATGACTTCCCCCCTTCGTATACGGAACACATGCGTCTAGCGACAGACCGTCGCCGGCCAATCAGAACGCAGCTCCTGTCTGCGTCATGATTCACGGGTTATCCGCGTATCTTGAACCCCCACCTCCTAGACCCTAAGTGGAAATATGGAAAATAATTTGCTCATGGCGTCATGTGGTCTTCGGGAAAAGGCAAACCGATCAAACTTGATATATATATTTTTAATCCCACTGTATTAATGAGTTGTTATTTTTGTTTAGCATGGATTCTATAGAGTTCTAGTTCCTCATCTGGATCTTATGTCCTTTCCTGGACTCGGGCATTTTTATTTTTAGTCCTTGTTCAAAAGTGAGCTGTCATGTTTGAGGGTGCCAAAATATTATGTCATGGAGTCATTCGCTTCGAAAAAAAAGTTTAAACTATGCAGCACAATTAGATAGCCCTCAGTACGCGTATGACTGTAGGTGTGACGAAGACAAATGTGTGAAAAGGTTTGTGTAGGAGTTCTCAAAATGTAGAATAGAATAGAAATGAAAATAATTTAAAACGAACTCCTTTCATTTCCATTAAGGGAGATGGAGAAAAATATCATATGATACCGGTATTCTCCAGCGGTCGAGTTCTCCTTTTCGAAATAAAATGCGCGACTTCGAGCTTCGAGATCTCTTTCGAAGACCGACGTCTCGAGATCGCTTCTCTGCCAGATGCATTTCCCGACGCAGAGAAGCGGAACTCGGGTCGGCCACACCGCAACTTCGTCGCGGGATCGACGACTCCCACGACTCCCCCTCGATGTCCCTCGAGCGACTCGCTAGCCCTTCGAGGCCGCTTCAGTCGTCGTTCGCTTTCGGTTCGCGATCTTCTTGGTTTCCGATCGACCGAATCCATCGGGACGGGAATGCTGCCGCGAACGATATGCTCGAAGGATTCGCTTCGTCTCGCGTTCGCGAGGCTCGAAGTTCCACTCGATCGGTGACGCCATCCACTCATTAGCCCCACGCATTCGCTCGATCGCGCCGCGTTCTCGCATATTTCCGCTTACGATACTTCATGCTCGTCTGCTCTCGCTTCTCACCGATACGTACTCATCGGGTCGTTTGGGCAACCCGTGCCAAAACATCCAAACGAAGGACGAGATGCTTTTCATCGGCTCCACTCGTCGAACGTAGGCTTGAAACTGAAAGAATCCCTCGGACAAACCGATCCGACGACTCGTTACCCCGAAGATGCCATGCTACGTGTCGGAGAACACATTCCAATCGGAGTGAAAATGCTCTAGTCTGAGTAATGCGCCACGCTCCACAGAAATCCTGCCGGTTCCTCGTATAAAAATCTGGCAGCTCGATGGGAAGCAGAAGTCGAGTGGAGTCCCTGCCCGAATGGCCCGAGCCATTCGTTTGAGAATCCTCAAAAAAAGAGCGGATTTTAATTCTAGTTGGCGAACGCATCGGTTTCAAAATTCACAACGCTGGGATGCACGACTCCGGTTCTCGTCTTGCCCGTTCCGAGTGAGACTGCCGTTAAAAAGTAAACGGGTACGACACGCGGCACAAAGGTGCCGGAATTCGAACGCTCTCCCGAATCGAGGCACCGAAGCACGAAGCTATGGAATTCCTCCCTCTCCCCTTCTAAATCGAACGAGACGCACTGACGCACTTCGAAGGTTGAACCCTTTCCTCGCGGTACCCTCGCATACTCCTTTACGGGAAGCCGTCCCTTTCCAATCCCTCGTATGCTCCTTTTCCGTCTTGGCGCGGGATGCAAAGAAAACTCGACGGTGAAAGGGTTAAAACCAACCTCCGAGGTCGCCTGATATCGATACCACAGCACGTGCCTAAGACGCTCCGCCAATACCTGCGTTCCATCGTCATTTTGATCATTATCCATCAATCACGTTTTAGCATGCAGTATGTTTGCCTTTCGTCAGGTAAGCCTTCAGCTCATCTCACTCTAGTTAAACGAGAACCAAAATGCTTTCACCTTCCAAGTTTTCTAGCAAAATAACAAAGTCTCCTCCGTACAAAATTAACTAGAATAAAAGGGAAAAGCTACTCCAATGTTTTTGCTCAATTCTGGAACTGGACCATTGGATGCTCATTGATGAAACTATAATCTATACTACTACATAATAAGAGAGCTGTACGTCCGTCCGTACGTACTTACGTCTGTACGTCCTGGGGAGGGGTGGGAGGCGGAGGGGGGCCCACGTTACCAAGGTAATGTGGAAATGTCGTTTACCGGGAAGTACTTTAGGCATATAGTGTTGATTTTTAGTTGCTGTGAACAATTTTACTCAAGTACAAATATTTTTATACAATTGAGAAAATGAATACAAGAGACAAATAACCTTCACATCTGTTCGAATACATTGACTTTCCAATCACGTCTTGCGCAGCTTACAATATTGATGGTGTGCATCTCAACTCCAATAAACCAATGTCTAGGTACCGTCACAACGTGACGGGTAATGCTAGTAATAATAATAAATAGATTGAAAGGCAGGCATTCTCTTCTTGTGCAGAAACAATTTATTTTGTCGCAGGGAAAAAGTCACAAAAAGCCATCATGCTTAATGGACCAAGGAACCACAATGAAAACAAAATGTGCAGCTCCATAAGGCACTTGTCCGATCATAGCGAGAATATTCAATGAAAGTAACAAAAAAAACTGACATTCGGGGGCCACCCGACCAAGCACATCTGATGGGTTTCAAAGCATCACACTCTGAGCATAATGTTACGGAGACATTATAAAAAATCTCTCTCCTGGTAAATGAGGCCCAGATTCAGATTTGAAAGATTATGAAATGGAAAACCTACAGAAGAGCACTTCTCCATTTTTGGAAATGGTAAAATCATATGCAAGCGATTAGAAAAACGTCTAGCACCAGGAAGGCCCAGGCATCAGGAGCAAAAGATTTGTCAAAAGGAATTTGATGCCAAAATACAGCTTCCTGGCTGTGGAATTGGTCATTGTCTCGTGACTAAAAGAAGAATTGCAAGATCATTGAGGTTTATAATCCCAAGCAAAGGAGGGATGGGCATCAAAAGGGACAGGCTCTCCCATAATAAGGCACTCTAGGACCCAAAAAGAGGAAACAATTGGAACATTGAGTGCGTTTGCTCTACTCAGAACGGATGGAGGGCACATGCGATCCGTCACCACAACGTCCATTGCATACGCCTCTGCCTCCTCTGTCAAGGAAGAACCATCAGCCATGTATCAGCTGCAAGCTGCATTTTTACACTCTCCTAAGACTCAACGAACGGGGACATACCGGCACGACTGATGGGGCGTCCTCGTAGTTTTGGAAGGCGAAACAGCTGTTGGCAACCAGACATTCCAATTACAGGCTGCCAAAAATCCAAGAAATGTGAATCTTTAGATGCAAGGAGGATTCGGAGATCCCGAAGCGGTTGGGATTCTTCCTCGATGCTCGTCTCAACCAGTTCACGTAGGGTTGTGCTAAATCCTCGAGGAAGGACAAAATCCTTCGGATGCAGCAACCGACCCTGCACAGGGAAGACACATTACGCCGATGGTAAGAAAAAGAAGATGATGATAAATAAATTAAAATATTCCTAGAGTAAGAGCATCCCTCCAGTCCTCCATTTGGAGGCAATACTCCTAAGTTCAAGTGCCAGTAATCTAGCCCTCTCATTAACCTTTTCCCTGGCATTGACGTATTTTTAAGCCAAGATGCCAATGCCTTGTCCACTGACACTTCCTAGAGGAGGTTGGAGACTTCAATTTATTTCTGTCATGGAAAGCGTTAACATGGAAAAATGCAGCTATCCTGGCAGAAAACCCATAGGATGCAAAAAATTCATAATTAAACCAGGACCACTGGAGATATTAAAAACTTGGACATCTTAATCTGAAGAAATTTCTTTGGCTCTCTAAATTACTCTCACTGAAGTAATCCAGACCTAACTTCCTTGCTCCCAGGAAATGAAAGGGAGAGGAGGGAGATGACATCTTAGTCTCTCTCCTTAACAGTTCTCCATTTTCTTCGAATGCAATTGCAGTTAGAAAAGGATGAATGAATGACTGAAATTTGGAAGGTAAGGAATTTGGAAGGCCTACCCGTTGAATGGATTTGGAGATCCAAGTATGGCTGATGCATGGAATTGAGGCCGCTAGGGCTTGAATGTATTTCCCTGTCCCGCAGTGGGAATCAGAGAGAAGATACACTTTGGCTGGATCCCCAGCTGTCTCAAGGGCATCGGAGATAGATTCTTTCACGGTCCCACCTGCTTCCTTGATATCTGCCTCCAGCTGTTCCTTCTTGAAATCCTCTGAATCCTTCAAGAGGGAAAACTCCACTCGATTCTCAGAGGAGTCATCAGAGTTCTCTTCACCTTTTTCCCTCCTTCCCTCTCTCACTTTGCTCCTTGTCAACACAAACACGTAGCCATTCAACAGACCACACACCTTTCTCTTCTCCATTTCCATTTCCTTTTTCTTCTCACTCCCTTTTGCACGAGGGGTGGAAATGGCTTTCCTACCAGAAGCAGGAGTTGCTCTGCAACAATGTTTTCATATAAACTTTCTTTTTCATGAAGTCGATGAGATGCAAGTGCAGTGGGCTCAATGTGGTCTCACCTTTTCCGCTTTGGAGTCTTGAATAGAGGAGTGGAAGGAAGTTGAGGATAGTCAGAATCTGAAGATGCAGCCACAGGGGTGTCACTGCTCTCAAGATGAGGGTCTGGCTTTAGTCGGCGCCTTGCCTGCTCCTTTTTTTCTGGTGTCAGATGGATCGACCTCTTCCCATCAACTATGTTATCTGAATCAGAAAATGAAAATGAGCTTTAACTCTCCCATTTCCTCCTCTCCCTTCCCCAAGGTCCCACAATTCAAAGGAGGTTGAGTAGTGAGCTTGAGACCCATAACAGGTATTCCATTCAATAGCAAGTCCACGAGGGCTGTTTGAAAAGTTCGTGGACTGGCCACACTGGGTCGCTGTTATGGAGAGGAAGGCGGTGACTGTTATGCCAAGTTGTAGTGGTGGAGATAATGTAGTAGTGGCATGACCTTCGTCTCTCTACCGTCGTTAGTATTTGAGTTACTGTCTTTAAAAAAAAAACCTGTTTTGCGATGGCGGAGAAACTCGATATTTTCTTAGTAGAGCGTCAGCGTTGCGCGATTGAATTTTGCGTTCGGCTTGGAAAAAGTGGTTCGGAAACCCTGCAACTCATCCAACAAGCCTATGGAGATGATGCAATGAGACAAGCTGCGGTTTTCAAGTGGTGGAAGCACTGTAAAGACGGAAAAACGAACGTGAAAGATGAACCTCGTCCTCTTTCAGTAACTTTTCTGCTTTCTCCACGTTGGCATCTGTAACCGCCGTGCTAGGCCTGCCGCTACGAGGTTCATCTTTCACGTTCGTTTTTCGTCACGGCGCGAACACGCGAACAAAGAAAAAGAAAAGAATAAAAATTTTATGAAATGGAGGAAACGGAATTTGAACACTAAATGATGAAAGGTACATTCGATATCTGAAAAAGCTTAAAATGAACTAAATTAATTTCGGGATTCTGCCCAAATATCACTGCGCTGATGTGCAACTGGGAATTCGTTAACCTGTACGACTCACGCCTTTCATTTGAATTACCTTCCTTCCGTTTTCAGAAAAAAATTCTGTTGCGTCACGTGTAGGACGTTACCTTGACAGTTTCACTTTACTAAAGTGAGTTGCTACATGTAACTGATGTGACCTTCACCTTTCACCTCCTATATTTGTGCCTTTCCAGCCTCGCTCTCAGGTCGTTTGCTCATGATATCTTTCTGCGTCCCCCACCCTCGGGGGACAGGGGGGGATGGAGAAGTAGAGGGATACCATTAAGAGCAGGGGTTTTTTTTTTGGGGGGGGGGGGGGGGGTCAGACTAAAGACCAAGAGGGATACCATTAAGAGCAGGGGTTTTCTTTTTTTTTTTGGGGGGGGGGGGGTTCAGACTAAAGACCTTATACTGACTATAAGACTGGACACTGCGCGAAAGCAGGGTAACCGCAATGGCGGTCTATGCCTTGGTGGCTGGCCCTCCAACTAACATCAACATTTCCTGGAGCAGAGCGCTAGTGACTCCTGAACGAATTCGCGCTCGAAGTCTGACGCCATTTCTATTGCGCGTGACTGATTGACATGGCTGGCGGAAGACCATGGAGAGGATTTGGGAAAACAATTTTCGACGGATCTCCCCGGGGGTGGGAGTTAGCTACGATTCTTGAATTCAGACAGAATTGCAAGACGATGCATGCTGCGTAGGTTACCTATGGAGCAAGGAATCAGTTTCTTTTTTTTATTAATTTACGAACTGCATTATTTTCATGAACTGGAGATCACTGAATCACAATGGCAATCTCATCTATAGCCGAAAACATTTTAGCTTAGCTGCCAGCAACAATGTGTGCGAGTAGAAGCCAGCTGTAACCCAACTGGACCCCAAGAACATAAGGTAGTAAATCCAAAGCAAAGCTGCAAGATAATTATTAAATCCTGTTTTTGTCCCTTCAAAATTGAACTCATCCCATTCTAACAGGCCTGTCAATCCGAGACATGAAAATGTTGATCTTTTCGTCAGGATCATTAAGGTTACTCAGCATTATACTTTATCCGCCTGTTACACATATGTAAAGCCATAGGCCTAATGCAAAAGCCCTAGGTGAACAAATGCGCGTGTCTTTCTGGATCCTTGGAAAACTGATGCAACGGAACATCTCCATCCATTTGAAAAATTTCTCCTGGCATGGTGCGCAGGCGCAGTACTTGGATCCAGAAGCAGCCATATTTCATGCGACATTCCAATCCAATGATCCCATTGATCAGTTCTGCGTAGTTCCGGGGCCAACCACCAGGGCAGGAGGTTTCCCGACATCAAAGGCGCCGCCACAGAGTGCCCAGTCTTCTTAGTATTAGGTCTTTGGTTCAGACCCCCTGATCCCCCCCCCCCTGGTTGCGCCCTGCATTTCAGCAATCAGGTCTCATTCTTCTCTCTTTATATGACCTAGGATGGGAGAGGGGGGAGTGAATCAACTGCAGCTCTCCCAAACTTATCAATTCTGGTTTAGGCCCAAGAGGAAATGCTATGCCAACTTTCACTGTTCCAACTGTTGATAGTCTCTCCACACACATTCCCCTTCCTTTTCCAAAGGCTGTGTAGGGAAGCCTACAATATGCACAATCGGTATGCCTTCCAGTCCCATGGGATAATAACAATGAACTCTGTGAGACTTTCATTGTGATTATCAGTTTATCAGTATCGGTTACAGGGTGTTCATAAAGTTTCTGACCCACCCACACAAAATGTGGTTATATGCTGCACCAGCTACTGTGAAAAAATACTGCTTATCTACACGGCCACAAGAGGATTACGTGCGATCTGCTCAATCAAGGAAAGGCTGTGCTGATACAGGACGGAGCCCCATGCCAAACGGTTGGCTTCGTGTTACGCACCATCAAAGCGACTATGGTGCAGGTTTAAAAAAAGGACACCAAAGAACTATCTGGACCTCAACATCCGAAGCACCTGTGGCCCAGGTTCCAGGAGAGTGCTCTGCGTCAGCTCTCAGCTCCACCCCATAAATCGGGCGTCAGTCATTACCAGAGTTCTAAGTGGAGCGAGAAACCAACGCGACGAGTGTCACCCGTCGGCTGGTTAGGAGCTTCGGGACGTTGATGCGAGGTTCTTGAAGGTCCGCAGAAGTCATACCAAAAATATAGTTGCAGGAGTTAGTACCTCCGGTATTCTTGGCCATGTGGAATGCAATTAAATCAATACATTCCCGCTAACCTCGCCTCCATCTTTATTTTAGCGGGTCAGAAACTTTCGGAACATCCTGTATATTGAATCCCTTCATGATGAATATTGGTAAAAATTATTCATTGGTAAAATCCCTAGTTAGGATAGAATGTCCATGCTGATATTTGGTATCAAGTGTATCCTTTGATAGTTGTACTTTCTATTTTTCACTGCCCAGTGGCAGTGTAGCGTTGGGAGGCCAGGAAAGGCACGTGCCCTGAGAGAGATGGGAAAAAAAACAAGAGAAGCATTAATAAAGAGAAAAAGACACATGAAATGCATGATCATATAGTCAGGCCGTAAATATGAAGGACACCTGCCCCGGGCGCCAACTAAGGAAGGGAGCGCCGAGAAGAGAGGGGGGGAGAAACAGACGAAAAGCGAATGATGCACAGAGAAAATGAAAAGAAAAAATGTGTTGCACAACAATAATATGGTCGTAAAAGATAGAACGGAAAAGTTTATGTTAAAGCACGGAATGTAGTACCCCCAAGAAAGGTTCGCTAGACCCTTAACAAAAATTTAAAAATAGCCGCAGGAATACTCCGTTCCCCCAGGCGCGAGAAGAGATTTTGCGTAATCATATTCCAATCAATATTAACGCATGAACATATTGAGGTGTGCGTCGAAGACGCCTGTTGAGCGAATTGTGTGGCTTCCTATTATTTTTGTCTTTCAGAGAAACTCAGTGTCTTAGCAATATTTTCCAATAAGATTTTCACTGAAGCCTAAGCCATGCCGCTTCAATAGAATACAAAAATTCGTACAGTATATGGAGGAAGTAATTAGAACTAGGTTTTGAATAGAAATGAAGATCCTAGAGACGAGTTGCCATACCGTCAGCATGCAGCGGCACCATTATTGCCTCTATTAATCACTAAGTTACGCAATGATTAAGAAATAGCGAAGTGCTAACCACTGACTTATTTGCCCAAAAGTTGGTTCTTGAGTAACTTGTCTCATAGAAAGCCGTCGGGCGCCCAATACCGGAAACGCTATAAGAAGCGAGAAGATCTGAAGCGCTCAGCAGCGTGCTTTAGTGGATGGCTGAATTCACCAATTGTGATTGAGCCTCAAGAATCCAATCGAAATGTCTGCTGCAGGACTGTAAGTCGGTCGGTGGACAGACGATAGCGATGATAAAGATTTTGATCTGCAAGAAGGGAACGAAATGCGCTCTGGATAAGACAAAGCAATGATGATTATGAGAAAGCAGTTTCTCTTCAAAGGAACGTCAGAAGCATGTTAGGGAAAGCCTGTTATTAGAGAAACTGCTGTTGGTTTAGATATTGATGCGGATGTCGACCCCAATGCTTTCGAACGACCAAGTCCTTCTGCACCAACAATGAATGAGAAGAAACACAAAGCAAGAAATGAAATAGTAATTAATACTACTGAACCATCAGAATGGCCTGAAGAAATGGGGATGATTTAAGATGCTTCTTGGTTAAGTACGGACCAGAGCAAAATGATGATGCAGACTTCTTGCATTCTGAGAGAGATGGTCGAAAATAGACAAAAGAATGGTTCAAAAAAGAACTTCCGAATGGTGAATGCGTTCCAATAAGCTGGCTTTTCTACAGCAAGTCAGAGAATGCTCTCTATTGTTTCCCTTGCATGATATTTACATATAAGACCAAAAAGAAACCAGCAGGTTAGCAAATCCCTTTTTTTTTTTGCTTTTTTTTTTGGTTTTGTCCTCTTTTCTGGTTTAACGGGAGGCCTTGAAATCATGCTGCTCACTAACTATGAAGTACCATACTGAAAAGCAGTCTTGATAGCAGTCAAGAACTGATGCTGTTCCTACGTTAATGCAACAATTTAAGGAGTTTTCAGTGCATTGAATTAGTTACTCAGCGACTCAAATTGCCGCGATGCAATCTCTTGAAGCTGAACTACTAGCAAATAAAATAACTCTCCCCTTCTTGACTGGTGCATACCTGGAGTCGGATATTCGCTCAGGTAGATTGCGTCAACAGTCTGCTGCAATCATCTACCGTACATGCACAATGGCAGATTCGGCTTCCCACATCTTGTGACTTGAGAACACCATGCAGTCAATTCGAGTGTGATTTCTGAGGCTCTTATGA